AAAATAAACCCATTTAATAACTGAACGCAATCGACCCTAAACATAGGCCGGTTGTGTAGTCTTTCTACACTGATAAAATATTTAAAAACGTGTCACCTGCGGCCGTAATCTCACGCCTGTTTTGCTGTCTTGGATTTTCAACTTATAGACGGGTAAGGCGTTTGTGAAGTTGAACCTAAGATTTGTAAGTGCAAATGCAGAAATTGACGACTTTAACCTCGAATTATGAATCCCAATCTTTGGATGTACTTAGTTAAATCATAAAATTACTGAAAAGTTGACAAGGCCCAGAGGATAAAGGTCCTTGAGGCTCTCACTGTTCTTATCTTTGACACTTTAAATAGCTGGGAACTTCGTATAGCCTATAAAACTGTTCACTTCGTGTTGGTAAAAGGTGGTGAATTTTGTGTTTACTAATGTACATTTTTGAAGCATTTTTTTTCGTCATACACATGTATATTGGAGAAAGCTGATGCTCTGACTTTGAGAAGTCAAATGCAATTTCCTTGGTTTTCTTAGAATGTAAATGTCCTTTTGTTGTTGATTGACCATTTGACTGCTTCATTTGTTGCTATTTGTAGGGTGTCAGGTGACTGGGTTAGCTAGGTTAGTTAGGTTTGAAAAATAAGTAAACACCTTGCCGTGACTCCAAAACCTTAAATAAAGGCATTAACATATGAAACAGTTTAACGTTGAAAAAAGAGGACCTCGAATACTGGTAGATTAATCCCATGTTATCATGGCCAGTTATATCAGGCTGTTAAGATAACTTGCCTCAGCCCGAGAAAAAACTAAACACAGCAATAAAATAAAAAGCCATAGAAATCTTGTGTTTAGATAGGATGAGTGTGGTATTGCAGTATTATTGAACATAATACATTTCATTTCTGAACGAGTATACCACATTACCTGAATAGAGCTGTTTCCATTTGTGAACAAGGAAGGTTAAACCAGTTGCCCTTTGTGCGAGGACAACAATGTGCATACTTATTGGGCCGCCAGAACGGTTGAATATAGCTTTTACCTCTAGAGACAAAATATAAGGCCTCATTCCCATACCTAAATCAATCTAGAAGGATCGAACCATCTCCAAAGGGGATCCCACTAAACTGCATTCAGGTTAAGCGATAGTTAATAACCCTATTACAGCTTCACTGGGCGTGACAGACATCTCAAACTGTAAGGGGGTTATTAAGATGTTTGTTTAAGAACCCGTTCAATTTAGCTGGAGCGACCCATCTCCGAGGGCTTTCTTGCTAAATAACATTCACCTGGGTCTTAAACAAACATCTTATGCGTATGACATATAAAAGCACACGTGTAACTGCAACGTGACCTACCGGTAGTATAAATAGGCATTAAGTCTGTTTAAAAACGTACATCTAAAACAATGTTTTTTTTTCTTTTGTCTTTCGAAATTCATCCAAAGCGGAATAACCTATGCTTTTAATCAACCACAAATTGTTTTATGGGTACACGTGAAAAAAGAAAAGCATCGGCACTCTCGTACCCGCCTCTTGATATTATTATTAATTTAATGATTATTATGTGCAACACGAATATTTGATTTGTCTCCTCCCCGTTTGGTGGGTTGTTTTCATTATTTTTAGTTGGGGTATTTTTAGTAAGTTACATGTACATCACCACAGAATCTATTTTTGTCGCGCTAGATGTCGTGAGATAAATAACGCCACCATTAGTATGTCATCCATGGAGTGTGTTTAGTCGATTGGTCTCATTCTGTCAATCCACTTTAGCTTAATTATGCAGGTATTTGTCGCAAAGGTGACTATAGGCATTTCCATGTCCTTGGGTTTGGCGACGGTCCCATTTTCTTTTTCAACCCGGAAGAAAACATGAGATGTTTACCTCAGGTATTGCTACAGGTATCTAAGAGCTAGAGTAACTCACGCTGTGCCTGCTTAGCTGCAGAAGCTTGCGCTCAGAAAAGAACGTAAATTTGAGATGTAAACTGTTGACGCTTGTTGAAAAAGGTGGGTGACATTATTTACTTATTTATTTTTTCATTTATTTATTTATTGCTCCTGGTATTATTCTCATTATTTATCGAAATATATTTTATGATTATTAATTTAACAAATTATCATGAACATGACGCAAAATGGTCATTCAAAGGACTTGATGCTCGACATTGTCATTTAAATTAAATGTACTCTTTACGGGATCCTCCAACCAAAATGAAATTTCCTAAAAAGCAATATTCTCATATTCACTCAACATTTCTCGATCTATCTCTGCACTTGAATTCAATGTTTCATTTTATTTTTAATTAAATGACTTAATTCTGTATAACCGGTCAGTCATTTAGGAAGCCATGTCTTCCTGATTATTTCTGAATGCACCACTGACGTGTCTTCCGGAAGACATTCAATTTTTTTACTGTGACGGGCATCTATTTTTTTTCTGTCGGAAGACGGTCAAAAGTGGAGGATGGATCAACAAAGAAAATTTGGAAGACTGCCAGTAAATTTCTCTAAATCCGCCCGTTTTTGTATGAGAAGTTGTATAGTTTTAAAGGTGCGAATCGGGGGAAAAAGTAGCTTTGCAAAATATGTCGACATAGAAAATAGGACCTGGGGGAATTTTCAAAAGCGTAAAGAATATCTATTATCATTATATCACTTTTATCTACTAAGCTATTTAAATGAAAATTAGGAGACTGCCTCTGCAAAAATACTATGTATACAATTCATGAAAGTAGATCATTAAAGGGTCCCAAAAGGCACGGCTCTCAAAGGTGGATGCACAGCAAAGCAAAAAGGAAAACAGACGGGCATGGTTTCTAAACTACGCAGAACTTAGTGGCCTTCTCTGCCTGAAATAATTGTGTCTTATTGCAAACATACCCGCGGTGCCGTACATGTACAACCCACGGGGGTATAACACTTAATTGCTAAGTTTCTCTCCTGGATAAATTGCTCATGAGGGTTTCAACTGGTAGTAATTAATTTATAACCTTTTGTTAAAAAGGTGTGTGTACCTGATTCCCTTTATGTTAACTACAATACTTTTCGGAGAGTTAGCAATAAGAAAATAAAATAAAACGAATAATAAAAGCACTGATTACTTACTTACTTAATTAATTAATGGATGATCACCAAAATCTAATTATTTTCAATTAACACAGTTCCGACATATCCTGAAAAATTAATAAAAATCTATTTTTGATTTAGGCGGGTACTGAGCAAACAAACAAGCAAACAAACAGAGGTGAAACATGACCTCCTTGGCGGATGTTATAAACAAAGTGAATTAAATATAAGACATAAAAGACACAAACATTAATTAAGAAATTAGAATGAAGCCGATTCCCCAGAATCGCAATAAAATATAGTCACAGGAGTTCTGTGATAGCTGCACCAATTTTTATGGTCCACGGCTCTTATCACGGTTTTAAAAGAAATTTACATTTTATACAAAGAAAACGTTGGTTGAAATATATATTTTTTTTTACTTTTAATACTAAGTACTTTTATAATAGTTTTAAAGCCTGTGAAGTTTTAGCACTAGAACACAGCAGTAGGTACATGCACCATACGGCATTTCTTGGCTTTCTTAATCCCAAATGTGTCCATTTAATATAGCACTGGTGCTGGGCTTACTTATCCCCAGACTTTACCCATGTTAGTGTGCATCATAAAGCTCAGGAAACCTTGAAATAATGTTTTAGGGTCTAGGTTATTTATTTATAAAGTAACGCCATAATTCATGTGTAAAAGATACATGTAGCCCTCAAGCTTGAAGGGTATTTTGTTAACACTGTTTTGCAAGCACCCCCCCCTCCCCCCCATAGGCAACTCAAAGCTTTAATTAGGCATTAAACAAGGATTCTTGGCTATCCCCGACAGTAGCCTTAATACAATATTACCTTAATTTAAATAAGGTCAGGATATAATTTTCTATGTTAAGTTCACTGCAATGGTGCAATGTGCAAAATAAAGAAGGGGATGTTATCTGTTTACGCAGTACAGACATATAGTGTACTGTACTGTACTGTACTGTACTGTACTGTACTATATGTACTAAAGCCACATGTACCGACCCACTTAATTTTTTTATTATTTTGTATACGTCTAGACTATAGACTATCATTGTGAAGTACATGAAGATGTTTAAATAGTGTTGTAAAGCAAATTACTTACACTTTCACTAATTACAGATAACGATTAAAGCGGAATCAACAGAGTAAACGGATAGAGAGTTATTGAGTGTAAGTTAGGTTTCATCAAAAGTCAACAAGTGTAGAAGATGTCTTTAAAGTCAGAAAAAGATGGAAAAGGTCAAAGTCAGTAACAGTTCATGTGATTGGTTTATTTCATATTTTAATTTTGATCAACTGTTTATCACATGATAACTGAGTTTTGGATAAGGTCCAAGCATGAGTAATCCAAATAATATTTTAGATATATCTAATTGAAAACAAGTCTCTTAGAGATTACCTAATAAGGAAATGTTGCATGGTGACTTGCAACATGCGAATAGAAAATATTTTGTAATCACGCAAAGACAATGGAAAAGAAAACAAGTAAATGCGTGATCAGTACGGAGAAATTGAGTATAAATATTTTGGAGTTGTATAAAGAGAGAGTAAGTGAATAAACGTTCGAAAGCTCCAGATCGTCGTTGTCATTATTTCTCACTATAACAGTAACGAAGAAAATCCGAAAAAATGTCAACTACATAAAATCCCTTTAGATACTACAAACATTTGCATAATAGTGAAATAAACATGCTGTTACACTGTCTGTGGCACAAATAAAAACGTATAGAAATAAATTACACGAATTTATCCAGTATATCGATATGTAAGTACAATCATTTTCTTATCAAAATTAAGTTAGATACAATTACAGGTTAAGTAATTCAAAGTAAATTAGAATGTACAATTATCCGTTAAATTGTCATTACCCCTGAATGACATGCAAGCTCAAAAAAGAATCCATTGGCTAATTAAAAACATTATAACCAAGTAAATCAATATGAATTTGGTAAATACAACATATTTTGATTAAATTAGCTACATATATACTTTTATACATAAAATATGATATTACCCCAGCAAGGCACTTCAGCAAAATAAAGAATGTTAACATTACAGTGAAGGCATTATTTGTATAAAACTTTTAAAATTACTTGAAAATATTTTACAAATGTTGATACAAAGTCCGTTACAATATGTACAGTTATCATCCTGAGTGATACTGCAGCAGAGCAAAGAATAAATTTTTAACAGAAGTTTACGGCATACCAAGGTGCTACACTTCTAAAATTTTTGTGTATTCGTAACACACGTGCATATATACGTAGAGGGTAGTTTTCGGCCTGGTTTTGACTCTCCAGCGACGTGTCGCTTTAACGTACTTTTTGGTCCCTTTAATGCGTAGTNTATTTTTTAATAGTTTTTTGAGAAACCATAGGAAATTCCATTTTATAAGTTTATGCTGAGAGCACTGCATAATGATTTGAAATTTTTAAAAGACCAAAATAAAGATTGGACCTGATAGTCTCAATAAGCCAGATCAGCCAGCTTTAATAATTATTTACATGTGGAAGAACCTTTCCAATCATGTGCTAATCTCACTCACGGAGAGCTTACAATGAAGGCTACAGTATATGTGGCGCTTGGAGTTCTCGATGACCATCAGTATCTTATCCAGTTTGTAATTAGTTCAGTGATTCTGTTCAAGGCCCACTAATCATATCCATTGTTTTCCAGCCATATGATCTTGCCTTTTTGGTGGACCTGAAAATTCCAGAACTCTTGATGAATATTGCCAAAGGTAATCACTTACAAAATAATGATCTAGAGAATGTTATTGTTCTCCTTATCAAGTAATAAGTTTCAAGTATATAACTGCTTTGTGAAAATCAAAATTTTCTTTCAAAAATTCTTTTTTTTTCCTTCAAAGAATGTCAAAGTGAATATGTAATTGCCAGTCTGTAGCATGATAACAGACAATCGCCCAAGTGCACAGGGCATTATGGTGTTGACTAATTTATGTTTTGACTTAAGTAATATTTTCATTGTAATTTCAGGAAGTGTAACCACTAGAGATAAATCCTTGAGTGAGTTTGATGAATCTCAGGAGCAGGAGGAGTATGAACAGTGTATGAAGTGGCTGGAGGAATGCAAGACTGGCTTCAGTGCCTGGTACAAGACTGCTCAAGAATCTTCCAAAGAAGACAGAAAAGTATTTATTTATTTATTTATTTATTTATTTATTTATAGTAGTTTATTTGGACTTTTTAATTATTCTTTTTCATACAGAATATGCAGAAAATGTTATTTTGAAAGATATAATCTAATATCAATCAGTATCTCTTAGTTTCATAAGTTATTCTTTTTCATGTGGATATGACGTGCTTAGTAGACTCACAGCGACTTTGTTACTCTGCCCAATGTAAAAACAAATGCAAGTTGTCAACTGTTTATTGAGGTTTAGTTGCTTGAACAAAAATGATGACAACCCCATCAGACTTGACCGTCTTTTAAAATAATAAGTCTCAGTAAAATCAATGTAGCTCAGAAAGTATGTTTGGCCACAGTGTACTTTATAATGATTTTCAAATTTTTTGATCCCTCAGGCCATGCAGATGTTTGTAGCTAGATTCTGTGATCTTTTGGATGTGGAGATCAGTTGTGATGGTTGTGGTGTAACGTTGCCAGGGCGACGCTACAGGTGTCTGCAGTGTCAAGACATGGACCTCTGTGCTACGTGTTTTGCAGGTGCCTTTGACTTTTCATTTCATATCTGCATGTGATTTTTTTTAAAGTTGATATAATAGTAGTAGTATTTTTATTATTATATCCATACTATTCATAGCTTATCAATTTTGTCATTCACCAGAGCAAGATAAGAGCGATAATGTCTCTTTAATTTGTTATTTTCAATTTATGGTGTTATACATCATTCTGAAGGATAATGTTTCAATATCAGGTGGAGTGAAGCCAGCAGGGGAACACACAGATGACCATGATATAGTCCATCTGATGTACAAATGTGATGAATGCCAGGCTTTCATAGTGGGACAGAGAATCCACTGCGACGTCTGTGAAGATTTTGACTTGTGCTTGGGTTGCCATAAGAAAGAGCTTTATCCTCCAGGGTGAGTGATTACTTTTTTCTTTTGACGATTAGGGTGCTGAAGTGCATTTCTCTTGTTACAAAGAGATCATCTTGAAGTGAATACATGCAATATACATTTTGTACTCATACATTTTGTTTCTTGTATATGTATTAGCATTTATTATCCATAGCTTTAAATAAACCCAGATTTTATGTGATATTTCTTGCAGTCATGACAGTTCCCACAGAGTCTCTGTTCTGCCTCTTGTAAAATGTAAGTAATGTTGCTTTTGTTATCAAAATGATATTAATAGAATCATATTCATTTTTTTTTTTTTTGTTAATAACTTTATTTTCTGCATTGAATTAAATACAAGCCATATTTTATTGTCATAAGTAGTAATATTTTCAGAATTTATATCTCAAAAATAAAATAAAATAAAAAAAAAACATCTATCCAAAACAAAAAGTTTTGTAAAAAAAAAAAAAAGAGCACCAAAAAGCCTTTCATCACCAAACAAATAAAACAGGAAAGAAATAACTCTAATAAATTTTCATTTGCAAAAAAAGAAAAAAAAAGAAANTATTGTGTTTTATTAAACTTAAATCAATATCAGTCTTATAAAATGCTGCCCCCATTCAATGAATTGATTTGCTTAATTCCAGGTGGTTCCAGATGTGGTCATCAACACTTTTGACACAGAAGAGTTTCTGAAACTTCTGTTCACCATCGGAAAGTAGGCCCTGTTTTTAATTACGTTGTTAAGTGTGCAAGCAGGTGTGCTTGTGGGTGTGTGGTTTCATGTGTAACTAGCATAAATGAAAGTTTTATCTCCGGAAAAGTTTGGGAAGGTGACTTTTTGGGTTTTAATTCAATACAAGATACAAATGAAAGTGTAGTTACAAAAAAATCATCCATGCAAAACTCTTAAGTGTTCTTACAACTCCTTATGAATCTTTTAACAATTATTGTGAAAGTGTTTCAGAAAAAATAGCGGCCGTATACATAACTTCTTAACTTCTTATTTGTGTAAAAAAAAATGAAAAACATTTTCAGGGGAGATAGTGGCCATGAAAGCAGTACACAACACCTGGCAATGGGACTCATAGCTCAGCTGTTGAAGAGTTCATCCACTAGTTGTAAGGTAAGATTTCATCTCAGGTTCAGTTTGGATGGAAGGTTGTATGATGAAATATAAAAATAAGTTTAAATGTTATTTGATTTTAGTTCATATTAATTATACTTTCTTGCCATTCTTAATTTTGGTGTTTGATACCAAAACTTCTTTTTTAAATGAGACAGTTTGAAAGGCCTGAAATGTATGTAGCATTACAAAAATTAAAAAAAAATTAAATCATATTTTTCTTCAGTCATTATTAAATATAAACATTTGGAGTACAGTTAGTTGAGTGACAGCTAGCTTTTAACCAATCTCACTTTGGCTATATAAAATAATTCACACTTGCATTTTGTGATTGTTCTGGTAGATTGCTGATGCTGCCGTGGCTGGAGCTATGGACCCTGAAGAACTGACAGCCTTAAAGGGTCCAGATGGAGAGAGGACGGTCAGCTTTCTCTTCTCATTTGGGGCAACCTGCATGGAAAGGTAGGAATGGAGACTGTATAGTACTCTGGAGTATCCACTAGTTCTGTACATTATTCAGGGTTACCAATTATCTGTATTTACTGTACTTATTATTTGAAAAGTATTATTTCCCATGTTTTCAGTTGTTATTCTTATCAATAGTTACCTGGCTTACAAACATTAGATAAAGTCAGCATTAAAGGCAACATAAAGGTAACACTGAGTATTTGTACATGTATAGGTTTTTGATCATCCATGATGTCAAATATACTTTTGTATTATATTGTATTGTATTGTACAGTATTGTATTGTTATTGTCATTCTACTGTATTTCCAGGAGTGGTCTGGAGTGGGCCTGTTCCATGGCTAACATTCTCCAGGGTCTGGTCAATGCTGTAGCCTGGAGAGACAGCCTACTCAGCCATATCACCAACAGTATACAGAGTCTGAGGGAGAAAGAGGTAGTGGGACCAGTTATATGGCATGTGTTTCATTAAAAGAGGAGTTGGCAGTTGTTCTAGACCAGCTAGTTTAATTAAATACAGTATTAATCCTGAAATGAGTAACCTATTTATCCTAAATATTTTTGGTCTAAAGATTGAGACCAGCTTGAATATTAGGCCACATATACATTCTTTGATATACTTCATAGCCACCTGAATTTTTGGCAATTACTTTCATACGATAACTGTTTGGAATAAAGGATATTATGCTTATAGGAGAATGAAAATTTGAATACAAAAGAATGAAAATGGATATGTAGAATTGTTTCAAGTGTAACGTGAATCCAAGCTATAAGGAATCCTTTAAATAACTACAGTTCAATCTAAGTAATTGTTTGCAACCAGTGGTAAAATTGTTCCTTGTTTGCTATTTCAGGTGCTGGATTTATCATCTATATTTGCCCTGTTTGTGATAGCTGGGTTTCCAGAGGTAAACTATTTTTCCATTCAATATATATGGAAAGTAGACATTTTGTGTATTTTTGTATTGTAAGATGTTACCCCTGTCACTGCAGTTTATCAAGAATGAAATCTTTATATTTTGAGGTATTGGTGATAAATTGCAGTCTGCAACATTAGCATCACACCAATAAATGCCAATAAAACAAAATCTGGACCAGTAAAACCTTATGATTTTTTTTTAGTTACCACAGTTTTCAATAGGCAAATTTAAAAAAGGGGGGGGGGGACTGAATTAAGTTGCTTCAACCTCACTACACTGCATTTTGGAAACATTTACAGGGAATTCGTGAAGCATAAAGCATCAAACACATTCAAAATAAAAACATCCTTTTTTATCTGAATGTCATTTGGGTGTATGATGTATGTTCACATTTTCAATAATCCGTAAGTTCTTTTCTATTTGATTTTCTATCTCTGTGAAAAAGCCTCAAGCCTGCTCTGTGGGTTACAGCATTCACAGGAAATTTAGGGTTAAAATATATGTGAATGTCGCCATTTCCAGGTGCTTTCAATAGGCAACCAGGTGAAGTACAATGAGAATGGCACAGAGGCCAGGCTGGGAGTTGTCTTGAAACACTACCCTGATAAACACATGACACTGCTGATAGATACCAAGTCCAGGAAAAGACACTCCGTAAGTTTTATAGATTATTTTGGAACTTTGATAAGTTTTCAATACACCACATATTAACTAGGTCAAACTTTGTAAACTCTTGTGATAAATAGCCTTACTACTACATGTATATGAAGAAGAGTATGTTTAGTATGTTTTTAAACATGTTTTGCACATATGTATCTCATCAAAACTAGTAAGCTACTCTTCAAGTTTATTGAATTTTGTACAGGTTTGTTCACTACCACTTAAAGGAAAGGTATGTTAAGTGTTTTATTTTTTTCTTTTTCACATTTTTCTCACATGTCACACCAAAACAAAAAAAGCAACTCAAGAAGTTAAAGATTTTAAAATTGTTGTATTTGTCTCACTTTCAGTTAAAGGATGAGTATGTTGAGTGTGTTTGTCATGAGATCAATGTACTGGACATGCATCATATCTCCTCCTTCATTGGTATTGTCAGAGATCTGATCATCAAGTTCAAGAAGGGTAATTCGTTTACAATATAACATAATGTGAATAAATCTAATATAAAGTGTTATTTTAAACATGGATAAGTATATTTTACATTACACAGTATAGCTAAGGTTAATGTATTGCAGTGAAATTGCTTTGTTGATTTTATAACTTCATCTTCAGTATTTTTTAGCATATGTTATCAGAGTGTGTACAATTTTTTACCTGGATTGCACAGCAAAATGTGCAGCAAATATTTATTTGCATTTGAAATGTACCTGAAATATTATAAAGTATCTCTGTGAATTTTAGGATTATATTATTTGTGCAGTCGTGACTCAATCTGTATTTTGAGGGCCCAAGCTGACCAAAAATTTTTAATATTTACTTTGGCCTCTGAAATGTTTTCTAGGTAGCTTACCAGTGTATCATTATTTTGAATCAAAATTGTGAAACGAAATTTAATTTTGTTAAAATATTTCAGCTTTTTCCAAAAAAAAAAATCAAAACAATTTATCCCCTGCGATTACATTGTGAAAATGTTGACCTCGGTTTTAGAAGGGTTAATGTCTATCTTTCATTGTGCAGGAGATGGCCTCTCAGTGGAGAAAAGCTGGGTGCTTTCCCTTGCTCTCAAGTCTTTGCTCCAAATGGTGAAGTCTCCATCCTTCCAAGATGGCCAATCCCAGGAGGTGTTCACCAGTGATGTCATCCAGTGCTTGGTGCAGTTGGCCAGTCAGGGGACAGGTTTCAGCAAACAATGGCTGTTAAAAGATTTGGAGGTGGGTTGACATTTTTGTTTACTACAGAAGTGTATGTCAGGGTTGTTTAAACACATGTGCAACCACATATGTTTTCTGTTTTTTTTTTCTAATTGTATCAAGGGTCATTGCTTCTGGTTTGAAAGTACAGGCATCTGTGCATACCTCTGAGGTTTATAAAGGATCCAATTATGTTAAGTTGTCTGGGATCTCTGCTAAGTCTTTCATTTTAAAGGGAACCCGAGTGGCTAAAGTTACTTGTGTGGTAACTAAAGTCTAAATGACCTCCACAAAAGTCAATAATTGTGTAATATATTCCACTTCCAGGTCCTCTCTCTAATGCTGTACACACAAGACAAGGAAAAGACTGATGTCCCCGCACCTCTCCCAGTGCCTGTGCCAGCTGCCTCAGACCCCAGAGATCCATGGCAGGGACTGGATGAACCTGCCAAAATGTGTTTCCAAGTAAGATCTTTACAAATATGCTGTTTGTATTCCTTGGACTCACTCTTGCTATGTACACTTTAGCAAAATATTTTAAGTATTTTAATTTTGCTTTTTAAAAAGTTATGATGAATGAAAGGTGAATAAATGTTATTTGTATTGGTGCAAGCAATGCTGAAAAAGGATTATTATTCATAGCACTTGTTAAAAACTATTTCAGACCCTCCATGAGCATTTCCATGTCCCTATCCCCATCCTGAGAGCTATCTATGACATGCATGGCCAGAACACGAATGCCTTGCTGATGGCAGTACAGGAGAAGTAAGTAATGTTCAATGGATTTAGACTACTCTAGATAGGTATACCAGTACATAGTTTATGCATGTATATTGTAAAGTGTGCATGTGCTTTTCTACAAGAGGGCCTCTTCTTCTGTTTTCATGTTTTTATTGCTGTTTCACTGGTAATTTCTAATCTAACCTGGCAGCATAATCACAACAAATGCATTGTTATCACAAAAAGGTATTTTTATTGCAAAAAACATTGATTTAAGAAAAAAAAGCAAGTGTAGATGTACCTTCCAAATCTGATATTCAATATGTGAATGTGTATTCTCGAAAATATTAATCAATTTTTTTAGTTCTAAATTGTTTTCCTGTAAATTCCTCTTCAGCATTGAAGGAGACAGTTATAACCCAAGTGAAGGAATTAAGAAGTTGGCCAAAAAGTGGTAAATTTACCTTGGTGATTCTGCAGGAAATGTATATAGCAGTAATGCAGTAAATACATAGGAAGAAAATATGCCGATCGTCTTATAAAAGTAATATAACAAAATATTATAGCATATTATATTATAGTAGACCAATTTGTTAAAAATATATAACCCTGGTAATAGTTTCATTTTAAGATTTTATTTTTCAGGGAAAGTGGTGTTAAAGCTGTAGCATCTGAAGTGATGGCTGATAAGGCGATAGATGCTGGAATACTGCAAATTGATCTAGCTGTACCTGTTAAAAGGTAAGCATATTTGAAAGTCCAAGCGTTTCTATTCACGGAAACCATCGGGAAACCAGTATGATTAATTTTATGAAAGTTATTAAATGTTAAAACTTGCCTTTGTTTCAGGACTATTGACAAAGCCACAGAAGAGCCCTCAGAAGACGCACAAAAGCTTATCAAGTCTACAGACAATGATACCGAGGTTGATGTGTTGAAACAGAGAAGGAGCAAGAGTGCAAGTCTTCTTAAAAAGGAACTGGAAGTCCAAGGAAAGACAGGATCAAGGGAATATCTAAAAAAAGTATATATTTATATTCTTTTGAAAACCACATTTATTATTTTGAATATATTTTTGGTATATGTATTACGTGTGTATGTTTAAAACTCCACACACACAGTCCTTTAGGAAAATACTTTTGAACTTAATAATTTGTGCACACACACAAGCACACGCCATGTATATCTGTAGCTTTCAAAATTTCAGGGTGAATCCTGTATATTTTAGCTTTGAGTTTTATCTTAATTACACCGAATCATTTCATATCCCAATTATGAAACCATTTGCTCTGAATTTCACTAGAATACAATCTCCCTATTAGGTAAATCTAGCCATGTCAATTCTTTGGGCAAGGAAAGTGCTGTTGTCTTTGCTGGCAGATTGGCCTCAACTTGAGTATCCAATCACATCAGACCTTCTAGGCTGCAGGAGCAACGCCCAGATCCCTTGTGTTCTGGACCTCCTGAACAGGTCAGAATGCAAGCAAACATTCAGAAAGGTAAGGTGCAGTATGATGCTGGTGCTTTTAAAGCAAAATAATTGAATTCTCTTTGATTCAACAAAAACTATGGGCGTCCAAAAGGGCAAAAATTCATGTCGCCGATTCAGTTATGTTTCCTCGATTCACTGCCTTCCCATCGATTCAGTTTCGAGTTTAAACGATCCTGTCATAAATTCAACATCTACTTTCGTCAATTCAATTGTCAAACATTTCTCATCTACTGTGTATTAAAACCAAGTTACACGATCGACGAAAATAGTTTGACGATTGACGAGAATAGTTACACGATCGAAGAAAATAGTGACAGCATTGGTTTTAATACACCGTTGACAAGAAATGTATGACAATTGAATTGACGAAAATAGATGCTGAATTTATGACAGGGTCGTTTAAACTTGAAACTGAATCGATGGGAAGGCAGTGAATCGACGAAACATAACTGAATCGACGACATGAATTTTTGCCCTTTTGGCCACCCATAAAAAACAATGAAAAAAAAAAGTGAATGTCATATTAACAAATCACGAAAATAAGAAAATACTGTGAACTGAAATGAATACTTTTTTCCAGAAATCATTTTTACATCCTTATGATACATCTTCACCAGAGTAACTTCCCCAATTTTTTGTGTAAAATATCACTATCTGGTATTTGTTTCAGACTTCTGATTTTTCCCTTACATTTTTTAAAATAAGACGCACGTACATGTATGTTATAGTTTGATGAATTGCATGCCAAACTTGGAATAAAATTTCATTATATAAATATAATTTTTCTAGGTTGTTAACAACGTTATTCAACACTGTGAGTCCAGTTGCCTGCCTCCCATAGCCAGTACTGCCTGCCAATTCATGGAGGAAGTTACCATGGCAACCAATGTTAGGCAATCTGAGCATCCATATGAGGGAACTAAAACTGTGGAGGAAAAAATTCACATCCCAGGCGCAGCTTTTCTAAGTATTAAATTTGATAGCAAGTGAGTGGCATTTCTTCATTCTGAAGCACTTTATTAGAATATAGCAGAACAGAAGTGTACAGGATTTGTTTATTATTATTTTATTATTATAAACTATTATTATCTTCAAACATCATTTGTAGATATGTCAAGACATACAACAGAACAAAACAAGACATTAGAAAGCACACACAGTGTAGAGGGTTATTGAACATTTTTATCGTCAGTAATCTAAACATGTTCGAACTCAATCCTGGAATTCTTCCAAATCACGATTTTTCTGCAGAAACTGTGAGTCTGTGCTATACATAGGAAAATATTTTGTAAAAAAAATATTGTGATGAGCTAATGGTTTTGTTAGTATAAGGAACATAATTGGGAAGATTGTGAAATCCTTGCATATTATTCTATTGCACAGAAGCTTCATATCATGTTTTATAGATGTGCAACAGAGGAAGATGCTGATGAAGTAGTCATGGCATCAACAGCCGACTACAAGCAGGACAAACATGTTTTTTCAGGAAACAGTAAAAATACGTGGAAAGACTTTGATATGGCAGGTTTGTTTGATTGCGCTGGGATAGCAATAAAAAATTAAGATTTATCCAGGAAAATGTTTATAGCTGTTTAAGCTGATCATTGATTGTTAACCTGAGTAAAATGTGAACTGTTGGTGTCTTGCTAAAGTCCTTGTAAGCAGGCCACTACAATATCACAGTCACATTAATTATTTGGTGACAGACATTGTAACAGGCATGAGATTTTTCCGTCTTTTGGCGGAATTCCGACTTTTTTCCTTCAAAAATGTCATTTTTTATATCATTGCAAATCCGTTGAGAAAATTTCAGGGGGGGGGGGGGGG